AGCAGCCATTTACTGTAGGTGTTTGCAGAAGGTTTTGATGTCCTCCCTCCCTACTTTACCTGACCTGAAAGCCACTTTCTGGGGCTATTAACCAGCCAAACAAAAAGCATGGGAAAGCCAAGCCATCAACCCACATCACCTAAAGGCTGAGGTTTTGTTTTGTTTTGTTTTTAAAGACCCAGCCTACGTTCTTTTGTCTCTCGGTAAATTTTTGTGCCCAGTTTCAAGAGCCCTGAGGTATTGCCAGGCTCAAGCATTGGCAAGGGGAGATGGACAAGGATGGAGAACAGAAGGCTGACATGTGTTGGAGGGGGTTGAGACTAGGGAACAGAGGCTGGAGGAGGCAGTTACTTCCCCCTCCCAGGATGTGCCCAACTCTGGTTGGGGAATCCACCCCCACCCCACCCCAGCTAGAGATTCATAGGAATACAATCTGGGGAGGGAATTAACCAGTATGATGTAGTGGTTAGAGTGGTAGACTGGGACCTGGGAGACCAGGATTCAAGTCCTTAGTTGACCATGGAGCTCACTGGGTGACCTCACAGGTTTGTTGTAAGGATAAAATGAAGAGGAGGAGAACTATGTGTGCCACCTTCAACTCCTTGGGGGAAAGGTGGGACACAAATATAACAAACAAACAAACAAACAAACAGCATTAAACCAATTGCTAGTAGTGGGTGAGTGAGAGTCAGAAGGGGGTGGGTCACAGACTGATTGTCTAGGACTCAGTGATGTTCCTATCACTGGGAATTGTCACATTCCCCTGTGATGTAGTGAGCACTTGCATGCTTAACAGTCTCAAAATGCTTGGCAGGTGGGCATGTTAACTCATTGGGATGCCACTGCTTCCATACACCTCTGAATTCTTCGCCCTGATCTTGCATTCCATCAGCTGGAAGTGCTGCTTCTGGCCTGCCTAGTCTTGCCTTTCTAGTCACTAACCTGAGCATAATGGCTGCTGAGATTTGCTACCTGTTGCTGAGCTTGTAATTCTACTCTATCTCAATAAAGATATATGCCTTAATCTCAAGTAAGAGTCTCTGTTGTGGGATCCAGGACACCATAGCCATTTAGAAATCTGACCACAGGCAGTTTTGATTCTTTTATTCCCCCCTTCTCTGTTTAATTAATTGGCAGTCAGTTAAGGCCCTTTTTGGCTGGAATGGAATTTGGATAAGCATTTGCTGATACTTCAGTAAAAGTGAAGCTCTGATCAATACCCTGTCTTCCCTTTTTCCCTCTAGAGTGGATGAGGATGGGACATTTTTCATCCCAAGGGCCGCATTTCCTTTGGGGCAACTTTTGGGAGGCCACATACCAGTGGGGCCAGAGATTAAAGTGTGGGGGGGGGCAACAAATGTCAGTGTTACCTTTGCATTAGTTTCTACACACATTCTCCCACCCCTTTCCATCCTCCACCCAGGTGAAATAGAGGCATTATCAGAGTTAAATGACTCATTTCAGCCAGGAGAAAGCACTCAAGGTGGATGCAAAGCAGGAGCACCAAGGACCATGGGCTGGGGAGTAGAGTGGCTAGTGAGGACCTGTAGCATGTGAAGAGCCTCAAGGGACAGATAGAGAGGCCACGAGAACCACATTTGCCCCCTGGCGTTGAGGTTCCCCACCCCTGTTCTTCATTCTCTGCCAGTAAGAGTACACATGCAGGAAAGTGGCTGGCAGTAGTTCTCTAGGCATTCAGACAGGGAGTCTCTCCCAACTCTGCCTGGAGGTGTTGGGGATTAAACCTGTGGCCTTCTGCATGCAAAGCAGGTGTTTTACCAATGAGCTACAGCCCTTCCCTGATGCTGTAGCAGTGGATTTCCTGCATTTGCTGGGGCCTAGACTAGATGACCATTGGTGCCCACTCTGACTCTACAGTTCTGTGATTCTAATGTACGCACATATTTATCAGTCAGCTGATAAATGAGTCTTTTTAAATCCACACTCCCATCTTCCCATTTTCTCCCCACTGCTAATGGTTCCCCATGCTAATCTGCAATGGTTCCCCATGTCTGGCACAGGATGCCTATGGTACCCTTGTCACAAACATCAGGAGGGATGCGTGGCATGAGAAAACAGAGATTTTGACAAGGGTGCTAAGGACGCAAGTGGGAATAAGGCTCTACATTATGGGCTTAAAGGTAAGGTAAAGGGACCCCTGACCATTAGGTCCAGTCACGGACGACTCTGGGGTTGCACGCTCATCTTGCTTTATTGGCCGAGGGAGCCAGCGTACAGCTTCCAGGTCATGTGGCGAACCAGAGCAGCAAACGGAAATGCCGTTTACCTTCCCGCCAGAGTGGTACCTATTTATCTACTTGCACTTTGACATGCTTTCAAACTGCTAGGTTGGCAGGATCAGGGTCCGAGCAACGGGAGCTCACCCCATCACAGTGATTCGAACTACCGACCTTCTGATTGGCAAGCCCTAGGCTCTGTGGTTTAACCCACAACACCACCCGCACATCCCACTTTTTCATTATGGGCTTACATATGGTTAAATGTGTGTGCAGGGGCTGGGGGGTAGGCCAGTGTCAGTGAAGAAGACCCAGATTCAATCCATGGCATTTCCAGGGTTTTTTGTTTTTAAAAAAGAACAGGTAGCAGGGTGATGGGGAAAGCTCTCTGAAACCATTGAAGAGCTGCTGACAATTGGAGTAGAGAATCTGTGGTGATTGGACAGATAGCATGACATAGTGTTAAGGCACCTTCCTATGACTCTCCTTCTCAGGAAATGAGAAGACAGGAATGTTAAGATGTCCCTAGTACCTGGAAAGCCTTGAGGGCTGGGTGAATGGCACGCTGTGTGATAATCAACTTAAACTCCCTAGTATATTACAACATATGAACCAAAGAGAAGTCTTGCTGGATCAAGCCAGTGGCAGCATCCTTTTATCACAGTGGCAAACCAGATGCCTTTGAGAAGCCTGGAAGCAGGACCCAAGTGCAACAACATTCCCCTCCTGTGGTTTCCAGCAACTGGTAATCAGAAACATTATTACCTCCAACTGTGGAGGCAAAGCAAATGGACTGGCAACCACTGATAGCCTTTACCTCCATGAATTTGTCTAATCCTTTTTTAAAGCTACCCAGGTTGGTGGCCATCATTGCCTCATACTATGCATGGTATTAAGAAGCACTTCCTTTCGTTTGTCCTGAATCCTCCAACACAGCCAAAAGCTAATCGCCGTGTTCCCCAAACCTGTGTTCTTGGTGGGCTGCAGCTCCCATCATTACTGACTATTTGTTATGCTGGCTGAGACTGATAGGAGTTGGAGTCCAATAACACATCAAGGGCACCTATGCTGGAGATGTCTGAGCTACCAGATTCAGTAAAGAGAAGGTTTGGAGAGCTCTCGTACTCTTCCCAAACCCCATTCTCAACTATTAAGTTTCAAATTCTGCCTGCAGCCTACTCACCATCAGAGCTGCTCCCTGCCCCCCACAAGCCCTCACAAGCTGCTTTTTCTGGCAAAGAAATGGAAAGACCTGATGTGAAGTCAGTCTTATTCACCCACTATGGCAACTAGGGCCTCATTGGGCAGGAGATGGGTGGGGGGTAGAGGGCTTAGGGGAGGCAGTAGCACCCTGGAGGATTGCCTTCTTTCCCCCACAAGCTGGTTCCTCAATCAATGTGTCTTGGTCACACTCCAGTGTGACGTGAAATTCTCAGAACTGACTGTTATAGTCACTGATATGATCCTGGCACCCAATCTGTTCACTGGGAAGACAGATTATGGGTCAGATTGAATACCACTGTTCTTATGGTAAAAACAGATCTTGCCCCATTCCAAACAAAACATTTCTCATCTTTCTTAAATGGTTAGAAAATCTTTTTTGTTTTGTTCTTAAAAAAAAAGAAAGAAGGGGAAATATATCAGAGAAACACCAGAAACCAACTGCCTTTTTTCATCTGCTGCTTGATAAAGTAGAGGCTTCAAGCTGGGGACAAATCAGGCAGCTCGGGGCCTTGAATACAAAATCCAGGGCTGTGTTATTTGCCCCCAAATCCAGCTGTTCTTGCTGAAGTGTCAGAAAAGTTCATCTGAGGATATGCAAACATCTTTACATTAAACAGATGCCCCAGCATCCTATACAGAGAAGGAGGATATGAAAAACAGTGCAAATTCCGGGGGACAATCAACATTTGTATGTGTGCATTGTGGAGGGTTGAACTGGTGAACTTTGAAGTGGAGAAAGTGTTATTTATTCAGAGCTGTAGCAGGTTTGGTGGCCTCCCCCAGATACCTAAAGGACTTGTTGAGATAAGGCAGGCAGCCCTCTGCCTTCTGCAGCAGACTGTGGTGCAGACTCCTCTGCCATTAGATGTGACTCTTGCCAGGAAAGCAGTGCAATAGATTCCCTTGTCAGTTACATTGCCTCTGATTAATACAAATGTACAAGGCGGTTGATCCCAGAGAGCACCCTGTGGATTTATTTGCATAATTACAGGAGAATGTGCCCCTCCTGGTGACTTGGTCGCATGATACATATTTATTTGTGCAGTTTTGTGCTGCCAACCAAGCCTAATTATATTCTTTCCCCTCTCTTCTTTCTGGAAAGAACCATAACTGCTCCAATGAGACATTATTTCAAGATGACACTGGCATTTGCAAAAGGACAACTGAGCAAGGCCTGTTTTCATAGCAGGCCCAGTGCTGGTGGTCAACATAATTAGGGGACTTACTCAGGGCCAGTGTCATGGACATAGCTTCCCACAGTCCAGAGGAACAGTCCGAGCAGGGGGGAAAGCAGTCAGTCAGAAGGGGGAGATAGAGACGTGCCTTTCTCTCAGCCAGCCGAAAGCAGTGGGTTAGAGTCCCCCTTTCCAGAAGGAGGAGGGAATGTACCTTATCAATACAGTGAGAGCAGGCTGGATGCTGGCCAACCCTCTGGCGAGCGGCCATTAGTCACCTCTCAGGGGAGGGGAGAATCTTCAGCAGAAGAAGGGGTGGGAGCTGACCCTGAAATTTAAAAGGGTTTGCAGAAGAACAAAGGTCAAAGAGAGGCGTCAATCAAAAAGGAGGAGGGGTGGACATTTTCTGTTTCCTCCCGGAGATGCAATGATGGCTCAGATGCTTCAATTGAATTGCGATGTATAGATGCTAGTGTGTGCGGCTCTGAGGCTAATGACTGTATACAATAAATCTTCTTGTAACTACCACCACTATGTGCTGTTTATCTATGCCAGTAGCCTGCCAGCTTGAAGCATCTCCACTCTTCACATCAGATGGCCAGGAAAGAGTTGGGATGTCGGAAGAGCAAGGAGCAGCTGGAGGCACGCTGAGGGGGGCAGGGGTGACGGGCACTGAAGCTGACCCCTATCAGGTACTATGGTGACAATATTTGGAACTTAAATCACAGCTTGATCATCTAGCAGGAGCTTTTGAGGAGCAGAACAAGCAGTTAGCTCAAGAACGGGACTTGCAAATGTCTAAGTCTCTAGTTGGCCCCCCCCCCCCAAGTTTTCAGGGGAAAATTTGGACCATTTGGACCATTGGACCATTCAGGATGGGAATTCTTTGTTTCATGAAGATTAAAGGTAAAGGTACCCCTGACCGTTAGATCCAGTCGCAGACGACTCTGGGGTGGCACTCTCATCTTGCTCTATAGGCCAAGCGAGCCGGCGTTTGTTCACAGACAGCTTCCGGGTCTGTGGCCAGCATGACTAAGCTGCTTCTGGTGAACCAGAGCAGCGCACAGAAACGCTGTTTACCTTCCCACTGGAGCAGTACCTATTTATCTACTTGCACTTTGACGTGCTTTTGAACTGCTAGGTTGGCAGGAGCAGGGACCGAGCAACGGGAGCTCACCTTTCCAGGAGTAAATTCCCAGGATTAGCTGAGTGTTTCCCTGACAAACTTCAGGTTCAATTGTGAAGTTCCGGGGACCTCCAAATAAGCAGACATGTAAATGGATGTTTTTTTGCAATCCAAATAATGCAATCACCAATTGTCAGCCTCTGCCAGCTGCAATACCAGAGCTGTTCAGTCAACTCTCGTTTAAGTTCCAAATGCCAATAACAAGGAGCGATAGATCACGTTCAAACTCACCAGTCATGTTCAATCAGAAGGGAAATCTCTGTACCCAATAAAATGATATAATAAAGTCCCTCTAAAGGCTGCAAAAAGTCTTTTTCTCTCACTCACAAATTGTTCCCTTTGCAATTGCCTGTGAGCCAGAAAACGGAAGTTGACTTCCTGTTTTGTTTCCGTTTTCGCCAAATCAACTTTTTATTTTAAAAGCTTCCAATTTTCTCCTTAAATAAGATTTAGATCCAAAGACCTTGCTGGAAAATCTGCTTCTTTCAGTGACAAGTTGTGGCTTTGACTGTAGGGTTACGGTGAAGCCATGAGCAATCTTGGCTGCTTTTCCTCCCCCGCTCCACTCACCTTGCGGTAGCAGCAGGTTCACAGGAGGTTGTGGGAGTATAATCGCTCCACTGGTCCTCTCGACGCCCCACTTCATCCATGGGGTTCTCTAGGGGGTGCCAAGCCTTGGCACTCTCCCCTAATGCCCAAACAGCCTCAGAACGGTCTCCCTTTAATCAGACGACATGAGCTGCGCCACCATTTCCGATCCGCAGCAGACCGGAAGTCCCCCAATTTTTTAAAATTTTGTTATGTTACAATTCCACCACATGTGATAAAACATGCCTTCCTTCTCTTTACACTTCCAACATTTATTGGAGCCTGTTCTATACATTTTTGCCATTTTTACAGGCATGATATACCATCGATTTCCCTCAACTTCCTCTTCTGGTTCTTTACATAATAACTTCTCCTGCCTGATTTATTATATCTTAATATTTCATTCTTTAGTTTGAACTTTGATCCATTCTTGTAATTACCACCACTGTGTGCTGTTTATCTAGGCCGGCAGCCTTCCAGCTGCTGACAGCCAGACAAGCAAGCTAAGTAAGCTATGGCTTAGAGCAGGGTCAGCTCTGGAGGTCTGGAGCTCTCCATAGCTGACCTGAAGTGTCCAGGTTTGCCTGCCCCCTCCAGGTTTGCCTGAATCTGCAGGTGGGTGAGAGTGGCTTAATTTTTTTTTTTAAAAGAAGACTTATGTGTGCAGCATGCAAACTTTAGCCTAATAGGAGCCAGCTGCAAATTATGGCTCTCTGGGGATCTGCCTTCCTCTGATCCTCATCCCCTCCCCCAATTAACCTCCATCTCCATGGCTCAGTAGTGGGACATCACCAAGACCGTCTCCAATGACATCCTTGATTCTGGTTTGGATCCTGAAATCTCAGAGTCTGGGATGCTCCTGATCAGGCAATCCTAGCTTAGAGCCTCAGATCATGAAGGTCCAGGTAGCAGCAGGGGAGGGCACCACTGTTTAGGAGATCCCAAATTGAATTGACTACTGACACAGGGAATGAAACTAAAGAGGTTGGATGATGCATTTTGTGGCTGCTGATTCTGATGCTGTTACCCTTCACCACCACTTCTGTCCGGGCTTCATTTCCTGAAGTCCCATAACCTTGAGATCAGATTCCTCTTCCTGAAGGGATAAGGCTAAAGTCTGGAGTAGCAGATGTGAGTCTTTTCTTATATTTGGGTTTTGTCACACATGTGGGGTTAAGCAGGGCATCTAGATCACCTGGTGCCACTTTGAGTTAGATTTAAACTCTAGTGCATCTCCTATTTGGAAACCAGCTGCTTTTGTGAAGTCTGTTACATATTGGGTGGCATGTATTTGGGGGAGAAGCTTCCTCATTTGTTCTTCTAATGAAACCTGCATGTTCCCCATAGGCATTAATGCCTTTGCAGTATTTGCAAAACCAAACAAGAAGGATTTCATGTGTCCAAGTGGGAAAGGAGACCTACCAAGGGAGGGGTCCAAGTTTAGGGTGATATAGTCAATAGAAGATTTTACCACATGTTGGCAACAGTTTCTTCAGTAAAACAGAAAAGCTGATAAATGAGCCAATACATATTAATATTGTTTAAATTGTGCAAAACACACACACAGAGCAGCAACAGCCCTATAAGGTTCACATGAGTAAAAGAACAAGCCAACTAAAAGATGGTTTGGCTTTTATCAGAGGTTCTGCACTGTGTCTTTTCCCAGCTGTGAATTGATGGGGGAAAGCTGGTATGAAGGTATGGAAAGAACAATAAGCAATTCATTTCCTACTCCCCCCCCCCCCCGCTGACTCAAAACACTATTTGAGGTTAAGCAACAAAATGTTCTGTGGAACCTTAAAAACTAACACATTTATCATGGCATATACCTCCATGGACTAGTATTAGATGCATATGGTATAATTCTCATTGGCAAGTATATACAGTGGTACCTCTGGTTACGTACTTAATTCATTCCGGAGGTCCGTTCTTAACCTGAAACTGTTCTTAACCTGAAGCATCACTTTAGCTAATGGGGCCTCCTGCTGCTGCTGCGCCGCCACCGCACGATTTCTGTTCTCATCCTGAAGCAAAGTTCTTAAAACGAGGTACTATTTCTGGGTTAGTGGAGTCTGTAACCTGAAGCGTATGTAACCTGAAGTGTATGCAACCCGAGGTACCACTGTATACACATAGGTGTACAGGAAATGTAAACATTGGAGTTAAACGGCAATGAAATACAAAAAGTACAGTCTGTGAGTGACCATTCGATTTGAGCTTATAAATGTGCAAAATAAGCATACTGACCTTTCATAATCGAGCACTGCTGAATAGATGATCCCTACAGTGGGATCAAAAGCCACTGTATTAACTCAGACTCAAATCTATACAATTCAGCTTCTTGATAAGTTACAATTGAGCAGTTGCACATGGAAGTTTATTCATTTATTTAGGAGTGTTTATACCCCGCCCACTAACTGAAGTTTTTGAGGTAGCTTATAATATATTTGAGGGATGCGGGTGGCGCTGTGGGTTAAACCGCAGAGCCTAGGGCTTGCTGATTAGAAGGTCACGGTTCGAATCCCTGCAACGGGGTGAGCTCCCCTTGCTCGGTCCCTGCTCCTGCCAACCTAGCAGTTCGAAAGCACATCAAAGTGCAAGTAGATAAATAGGTACCGCTCCGGTGGGAAGGTAAACGGTGTTTCCGTGCACTGCTCTGGTTCGCCAGAAGTGGCTTAGTCATGCTGGTCACATGACCCGGAAGCACAGCAACCCCAGAGTTGTCCGCGACTGGACCTAATGGTCAGGGGTCCCTTTACCTTTATAATATATTTGAAACACAATAAAACAGATATTGATGCAATAGCCACTGCACCAGGGCAAAGATATATGTCAGGCTCCCACCATTTGTTCTCTGATGTTCCATCAAATGCCATTCTGCTACTGAGTCTACTGGCACATGAGTCCATTGAGTGATGAAGAACTAACCCCGGCCAGGAGTTCCTCCCTGGGTGGTGGCCGTTGCTCCTGTCTCTCATAGCCCCAGCCCTGGTGGCAGATGCAGGAAGTGCTGGGGGAAATGAAGATGGTCCATGCCTCCCTCCCAGTTCTCAGATGCTTCAAGTGCCACCAAAGATGTCCACCATAGAGCATTCTGAGGGAATGAAATGTTTTCCTGCTGGCTTGTTTCTGATGCTAATTCTGTGCCCATTTCTTCCTTTGTATAGGAACTGATCTTCTAGTCCTATGCAGAATGCCAAAGGGATTTGCTGGCAGGTGACAGAATACATCACACTGGAAGATAAGCAGGTGGATTGACCTTTGGTGTTGCGGCCTACATTATTAGGTGTTGCAATAGCAGTGCCCTAGTAAATGTAGGAAGAGAGTTAGCATATAGGTTTGTTTATGTTTGTCTCTATTATGTGGCTTTTTGAGTAGTTTAGACATGTGGTTTGCTGTAGCCTTCACTAACTCTGTCACTCGTTAATAAACCCACATGGCTTGAGCTGGTTGGATTTTGCATGATTTTTTTTTTTTTTGAGAAACTGTTGTTCTGTGGATCAAAAGAGAGTCCTGGGATATTTTTAGGTAGCCCTTGGCCCTGGGCAACCTTCCAAGAGATGCATCCTGGTAGTGGGTGGGGCCAGAGGTAAAAATTGGGGAACTGGATCAGACTCTCATCTTTTGTACAGTGGGCTGCATTCCAGAATGTGTTCATGCGAAAGCCAAAAAAAGCCATTCATGCAGCACCCACCAACATGCACAAACATCTCTCAATCCTGGCAATCAACAAGCATTATCACAGTTCAAGGACACATATATTCCAGCCAGGCAAAAGCACTTGAGGGGAGCACAGAGCAGGGCTGGCAAAGGGTTGAGGTTCCTCACCTCTGCTTTAAATCATCAACAAATGCCTGACAAAATTAACTGAGGAAGCTATCTTAATCTGAGTCAGATCAACTACCCAGGTGTTGCCAACACTGACTGGCAGTGGCTCCCCAGGGTTTCAGACAGGAGTCTTTCCCTGCTTTAACCAGAGATGCTGATGATTGAATCTGGGAATTGTCTTTTTCTGGCAAGCAAAGCCCGTGCCCTACCACTGAACCATGATGCCTTCCTACCTTCTTAAGATCCTAAGAACATGAGAAGCATAGTGCAGCATCCTGTTCTCATAATGGCCAACCAGATGCCTGTAGTCAACCAAGAAACAGGACCCAAGCACAAGAGCACTCTCCTTCACCCCCATGGTATCTCTGACTGTGGAGGCAGGCAGAACACAGCCACCATGGCTAGTAGCTGCTGATAGACTTATCCTCCATGAATTTGTCCAATCCTCTTTCAAAGCTCTCCAAGTTGGCAACCATCCCTGCCTCCTGTGGGAGTGAGTTCCACAGTTTAACAATATCATGCATGAAGTTCTTCCTTTTGTCTATTCTGAATCCTCCAGCATCCAGCTTATTGGATGTCCATAAATTCTAGTGTTCTTCACTTTTACACAGTTTGGGAAATCTTACCGTTTCATTTTTGTGTTGATTTGTGTGTGCAGAAATCAATAACCACCCATTACTTCTTCATCTTCAAATGCAACATCACCTTTCAAACAAATCCTAATAAAAAGTGCTACTGGAACTCTTGACCCATCCTTTCACATCTCTCATCACGTCCCTCTAATAGGCTTGCACATTCCACTACAAGCATAAAAACATTTGCTTCACTTGTATTACCTTGCCTCCAACAATGTCTGGATGGCTGATGAATGCATGGTTTGAATTTTGTCAGGCATATCCAACATTGATGAAACATTTTAAAGAAATCCACTTGCATTACTGTGTTAATTAGACATGTAGGGCCAGTAATGCATATGTAATCCCATTGGGACTAGGCTTTCCACCTTTTCCTTATTTCAAGGAAAGGGTCTTTATATAGTATTGAAATGCATGCGTTCTTTTTCAAGTTAATGGAAAAATAATACATGGCAAGAAATAATATGTTTTCTTATTAAGAACTATTTTTTTTTAAACTCTCTTCTTCAGCTGAAAAGACTTCTAGATCAGCTGCCAAGGATCAGTGAAAAGACAGTCCCTGCGCTCAGGCTCACAGTTTAAAAGGGACAATACACAAGGAAATACACGAATAACCGCGACGGGGTGAGCTCCCGTTGCTCAGTCCCAGCTCCTGTCCACCTAGCAGTTCAAAAGCACGTCAAAATGCAAGTAGATCAATAGGTACTGCTCTGGCGGGAAGGTAAACGGCGTTTCCGTGCGCTTCTCTGGTTCGCCAGAAGTGGCTTAGTCATGCTGGCCACATGACCCGGAAGCTGTCTGTGGACAAATGCCGGCTCCCTCGGCCAGTAGAGCGAGATGAGTGCCGCAACCCCAGAGTCGTCCACGACTGGACTTAACTGTCAGGGGTCCTTTACCTTTATACAAGGAATGGGGATTGTGAGGGAGGAGGGGATATGTTCATGCAGAAACCGAGGAAACAAGGAGGTGATGCAAATGTTGCAGGTTTCAGCAGAACTGATAGAGTTGCCCTGTTTCCCTCCTATCTGTCTGCTGCAGCCTTAGTCCTCTGGCTGCAAAAGTAAATGCTGTCTTTCAGTCCTCAGGGCACAGTTCATTCATTTGTTAATATATCTTTTTTTCTGATTTGGCAACCTTCTTGTGGCACAGGAGAAGCCAACAGGCACGATTGGTGGAGACAACCTGGAAGAAGCTGCACTGATGCTGTTCACAAGAGGCAATGAGCAGCAGAAGTTTCTGACAAACCCCACCACTCAAATGACAGCTCATTTGATATCTTGCCTCCTTGCTCCTTCCCTTATCCCAATAACATTTTGCGACTCATTAGGAAATGATCTATGACTATCCATCCCTGTGTCTTCAAAGCTACAATTTATAGCCTCTTGTATAATTAAAAAAAACACACAATTTGGTTAAAATTGGTGTGGTGCTGATAAGCAAGTGGGATGAAGCCCTCTGAGCTTCCAGGGAAGAAAGTTCCAGTGTGAGAGGGTTATTTTCTGAATTGCTGTCTCTGGGCGGAATTAAATTGCCTTGACACAGATACCCATTTTAATCTTCATACAATGACTCTAATTTCTTTGTGCCACATTGCATCAGGGAAATGAATTCAAAGAGGAGGGGGAAATACGTTTTTCAGATGAGAGTCACATCCTCTTTTAGGTGTATTACCTCATTGCCAGGGAGATAAGAATGAGTCATCTCATTCCTGCTTTTATTGATAAATTCCATCCAACCCAGCCAATCCAATGAAAAGGTGGATGAGCTCATAAGGGTTCCTCCCTAGAAGGATCCATTTTTAGAGTGCTAGTTTCATGGATGGCTTACTTCAAAGCACCATCTGGAGCTATCCCACTAGCATAGGAGCAAACTCCTAGGGGACGAGGGGGTATTCAGCCCCCAAATAAAATATTTGAGGGGACTGCCCCCCCCCCAAAAAAAATTGACGGGCATTGCCATTGTAAAATTGGTGTCCTTGTGCCATACCCCTCTCGCAATATTTGAACTTGTGGACATCCAACAAAGCTGAGTGCTGGAAGATTCAAGATAGATAAAAGAAAGGATATCTTCATGCAGCTCATAGTTAAACTATGGAATGCCTCACATGAGGCACAGATGGCCACCAACCCCAATGACTTTAGAAGAGGATTAGACAAAAGCATGGAGGAGAGGGCTATTGACGGCTACTAGCCGTGATGACTATGCTCTGCCTCCAAAGTCAGAGGCAGTGATGCTTCTGAATGCCAGCTGTTGGAACCAACAGGAGGGGAGAGTGCTCTTGTGCTCAAATCCTGTTTGCAGGTGCGCCACTGTGAGAACAGGATGTTGGACTAGATGGGCCATTGGCTTGATCCAGCAAGCTCTTAGATTCTTATGCCTACCCTGTTCAGTCCCAATGGATCATGACCTGAAACGAAACAACGGTCCACTTTAGAATCCCCAGACTAGTGGATTATTTTACAAGGTGGCCTTGTAGGTTATGTGCTATATCCATAGCACGCCTATTTCATTTCTAAAATAGGGTATACAGCTGCCCACAATCTGAGAGGCTAGTGCAGAGGGCTCCTTGCTGTCATGTGCATTGAATGCATGTAAGGCAAGGCCCCTAGGAGGAACTAGGTTGTGTTCTCAGAGGGAATTGTATGGGGAAAGAATGGCTGCCGCTGTCCCTCCCCCTACTCCAGGTGTGATATTAGCAGTTTAGAAGGAAAAACTTTAATGGGGGGTGGGGATGGATGTCTTAGAATTTTTCATAAAAAAACCTGCCTCAGAATTGCATGGGATGGAGTTAGTCCCATTATCTCTGAAAACTGAGATAGACCAGATCTTAATGCGTCCTTCTCTCCATCACTTGGCACTGATGATCTTTGAGAATTATTGGAGAACAAGTGAAGTCCCTGCAGACTAGAGGCAGGCAAATGTTGCTCCCATCTTCAAAAAAAGGGGGAAAAGAAGACCCAGGTAACTACCGACTGGTGAACTTGACATCAATACCAGGAAGGTTGTAGAGCAAATAATTCAACAGTTGGTCTGTGAGCAGTTAGAAAATAATGATGTGATTACTAAGACCCAAAACAAGTCATGTCAAACAAATCTCATTTCTTTTTTTTTGATAGCATTACAAGTTTGGTGGATTACAGTAAGAGTTTTGACAAAATAAAATAATTCCTTCAGTAGCACCTTAAAGGTAAAGGTAGTACCCCGTTGCCCCTCGGGCCAGTCTTTCCAGACAGCTCTTGGGTATGTGCGTCCTCATCCAACTCTAAGTTAAGGCTGATGGACTGCCAGGCGAATCCGAGCCGAGAAGAGCATGAGAGACTGGAAAAATTAAGAACATTTACAAAATTTTATTTATATCTAAAATACGCCAATTGAATGCTAGCCCCAGCACGGAGTGCAAATTATGAGGATAATAATTGAAAGAATCAAAGTTTAAATGGATGATAATATGTTTGTTTTTAGGGTAATGACAATAGGCATTAAATTTAAACAATGAAAGTACCAAGAAAACATGAAAAGTTACAATTTGCTATAATTTATTATTAGAATGCATGTGCGGAGTTGGAAGTTGATGGAAGTTGATAACTGTTGAAGGGTATGATTTTTCTTTTCTTTTACATTTTCGTTTATTTTCTCCTACTTTTTCTGCTGTTCTGAAAATGCAAAAAAATATTAAAAAAAAAAATAGGTTGTCGCTCACTCACTCTATAGCGGACCAGCACTTCGCAGCACTTCGGGTCACGTGCCAGCGTGACGAAGCTGCTCTGCAGCCAGAGCGCAACGAAACACGTTTACTTCCCGCTAGTAGCTCTACTTGCACCCGAGGGTGCTTTCGAACTGCTAGGTTGGCAGGCGCTGGGACCGAGCAACGGGAGCGCACTCCACTGCAGGGATTCGAACCGCCGACCATGCGATCGGCAAGTCCTAGGCGCTGAGATTTTACCCACAGCGCCACCCGCATCCCATAGTAGCACCTTAGAGA